ATGAGCTGCCGCGCCTAAGGCGCGACACCTTTAACTGCCACGCCTAAGGCGCGACACTCTGAACTGCCACGCCTAAGGCGCGATACTCTGAACTGTCGCGCCTAAGGCGCGACACTCTGAACTGCCGCGCCTAAGGCATGTCACCCTGGCTCGCTTGTTGGTGTATTTGTCGTTGTGTCCACACTGCTCTTTTCTCATCCTTGAGTAGTGTTTGGATATCTATGAGCATTTTTTGACACCTACACCAATGGGATGTTTTAAACAAGTTTAAAAAGTTTTAACAGGGGTTTAAGTTTGGTTTAAAGATGTTTTTGGTTGGTTCACAAGTGGAGGAGATCATCTACATTGTTTGAGCTTCCTTTTAATCCATCTCTCCATCTTGTTATTCAGAGAAGAATCTCTAAACTCATATCTAGCTATTTATACGTTTGATTTACATTTCCATAAGCTAGCATTTGTATTGAGTTTAGTTTGATTTTGATTTACTCATTGTTTACACACACACACACACACCCATTTGAGCTTATTGTATTTACATACATAGTATATTTAGATTGGTGAGAGTTGTAACAAATTGAGTGTGAGCTTTTATTGTGTTCTTATCCATATTAGAGAACAATCATTCTTTGTATTGTGCTTAATAATTGAGTGTGAGCTTTTATTGTGTTCTTATCCATATTAGAGAACAATCATTCTTTGTATTGTGCTTAATCGTGAGATCACTTTGTAATACACTTGTACACCGAGAGGAGTGTGTGGTGAGAGTCGGGGATCGTCCTAAGAGGAGTGGCGTCGGTTGATGAACCTAGGAAGAGGTTGTAATCAAGCACTTGAGGGAGACACGGCTAGGTCCAACACTTGTGAGGGTGTAGAGTGAGTTTGCAAGAGTGTGAGTTGTCGAGTTTTCGATTAGCTAGAAAACCAAGTGTGCAGAAGTTCCGGCTTCCAATCCGGTTGTGATAGTGGATTTCTCCCCGGGAGTGGGGAGCGGAGACGTAGGACGGAAGGTCCGAACTCCGTGATTATTTGATTGTGTTTGAGTGTGCTTTGATGTTTATTCTTATTTGTGCTCATTACTCATATCGCCTTTGTCTCATTGTTTACTTTGTCCACTATCTTGTTTGTGTTTATTTCACCATTGTGTTAATTTGTATATCCTTGCATATATCACATAGTATATCTCATTGCTAGGATATATCTCATTGTTTATATTGCATATTCTTGCTCATATCATATTGTATATCTATCTTGCAAGGATAATATTTGAATTAGTTTTAATTGGCATAAAATCAGATTAGATTAGCATAAGACCCTAATCACCCCCGCTCTAGGGTCTAACACAAAGTTCTTTATTGTGATAGCCAGAGTGCTATACACATTGCCAAGAATCCAGTATATCGTGCCAGAACGAAGCACATCGACGTGCGTTACCATTTTATACGCTCGCTGATTGAGGACGGGAAGTTACTATTGGAGAAGATTTTGGGGAGAAAAAAATCCTGCAGATACGTTGACTAAGGCAGTGACCATTCAGAAACTAGAGTTGTGCGCAACTTCAGTTGGCCTTCAAGCAAAGGAGATGAGGGCGGAGCCACATTATGAGAAAGATATTGATTGAAAAGATTCTTCGGGTAGGAGAAGATGCTTACTAAGTTAAAGAGAGCTTACTGATGGCGGTTTGGTCTACAAGTGGGAGATTATTCATTTTGGGGGTGTAGACCCAAACCTTGAAACAAGCTGAAAGTCTAGAAAACATGCAAACTCAGTATGCATACGAACCTGTAGTTCAGGTGAGCTTTGGAGGTTCAGGAGAACTCCAAATGCAGGTGAGCTCTAAGTGCAGGCGAGCTCCGAGTTCAGGCGAATTCCAAGTTCAGGCAAAGCTCGATCAGTTCAAACGAACATAAGTCAGGCGAGCTTGTGAATTTAGGCGAACTTCACAAGTCAGGTGAGCTTCAAGTGTTCAGGCGAACCAGCTTGTCAAAAGAACTCGTAGAAAAAAACAGATTTTCAGATCTGCTTTTGACCTAGGGTTTCCTCTATAAATAGGGAACCCTGGCCGCCACTTTGAGTTGAGATTTTTCTGAGCGCCTGTAGTGAATTTTTGGCGGCGCTTTCTCCAGCGATTCCTGAGCAGCAATTTTTCAGAGAAAAATCTCGCGCGTTCCTGTGGCGGTTCTACAGTAGCGATTTTTTGATAGAGAGATCGCAAGGAGTTTGAGATCATCTTCTTGGTAAGGTTTGTAATCTTCTTTAATATTTAAAGGAAGTTTTTGGTGTGGCTCCTAAGGACGTAGGCAAGTTGTCTAACATTGTTAAATTTTTGGTATTCTCTTTTCTATTTTTCTTTGTAAAGTTTTCTTTTATTTGCTGTGATTTCTTTTTGCCTTCTTTTGACACAAGATTCGGAGGACATGCTTCGTGAGAGAGTTCATTTGACACGTTATCGATAGGACAAATCCCCAACATATTAGTCATCAGTAGATTGATAAAATATCTCCCTCTCAGACCATCTCCAATGGCCAACAATCTCAACAATTTTTTGATGCAATGGCAAGGTAAGTAGGAAGGCATTTGAAAAGGAGGGGAGAGAAAGTGAGGAGAAAGGCAAAATTTGCCTTCCTGTTAACTTTCAAAATGGGCCCCACATGTCATAAACTTTTTATAATTATTCTCACTTTGTTTTTAAATGACTTTTTTGATCAATAATTATTTGAAATTAATTTTTTATTTTTTCACCACTATTTATTATTTTTCAAGATCTATAAATAGAGATTAAGTTTGTATTCTTTGGACACCAAAAAAAATTTAAATTTTTGCTTAGTTATCATAGTTAAGTGATGTGGAGGAAAGATAAAGTAAAAAAACTTTTTGAAAAACTAGTTGTTGTGAAGTTGAAAGGCAATTGAAAAAGGCAAGTGATGTGGAGGGAGAATAAAGTGAGGTGGAAGGAGAGAGAAAGGCAATATTTGCCTTGCCATTGGAGATGGTCTCAGTAGTCTCCCCGTATACTATCTCTAACAGAAACATTAATGACATATGTAAGTCCCAATGTGAAAGAATATTGGAATAAATTAACAGGTTATACGTATGGGTAAATTGCACTTAAATAACCCAAAGTATGTTAGTTTTTCACTTGTATGACCACTTGTAAAACATATCATGTAAATGACCCGAAGTTTTTTTTTCCTTTAAAGAGAGTCATGCTGTTAATATTTTAGATGGAAAGACCAAAATGCCCCCTTTATTTTTCTAACCCGTCCTCATTAAAAACTCTTATCAATTGGTTAAAAAAACTCAATTCTTACATCTTCTCAAAATAATTATGCTGTAGAGAGGGGAAAGCGAATTACAATCTGAAATCGAAGTAGGAGAAAGGGAGATCTTGCCATTTGGTTGTACTTTGGGCTAGGGTTTCATTTTCTTTAAGGTAAAATTGTTTTCATTTTTATTGCATATTAAGACCAAGTCTTACCACTTTCTCATCAACCCTCCTAACGCTTGACATGGAGCTTGAAGAGCCTACTTGAGCTTGGCTTGATGGTTCGCTTCATTTAAAAGAGAGACAATATGAAAATGCTAGATCTACTCATCTATACAAATGAGAGAACCTAAGAATCACTATTTACGCTACAGTAAATGCTACAATAGCATTTACTGTAGCATTATTACTATTGTAAACAAGAAATTGGACATTGTAGTTTTTTGAAAAACCACTACTGTAGCACACATGAATACTGTAGCAGAACTGGATTCTCTAGCAATTCAAAAAATAAAAAATAGCTGTAGCAGTTAAAAGCGGAATTATTATAACGGGGAAAAATATGTCGTGTTTTGCACGGTGTTCACATTAGTTTAGGAGAAAGACGAAGAATATAATGGAATGGTAGTTGGATGTAAATTAGTAACTAAAAAGGGGTAATAAATGACCTCAAAATGTCACATGATAGCTCACACATGGGAATATTCTCATCATCTTCTAACAAGAGAGTACAGGTTTAGACTTTGTCATTAATATGAAACTTTTGTAAACTTTGATTCGTTTAGGCCCCGTTTGGCAAAGGCTTAATGAAGAGGGGTTAAAGAGAAATATTAATGTACTTAGCCCATTTGATAATCTGAATGACTAAATTATTAACCCGTTAAATAAGTTTTATTTTAGCCCTTATGATCGGTTTTAGTGTTTGGGAATAACAATGATTTTGACTATTTTCTTTATAATTAGAAGAGTTAACTCTTATTCCATCTAAATAGGAGTATTAGTAACCCCTCATTTTAACCCCTCTAGAGGGGTTAACTTAACTCTTCTATATTTTTTATGTTTAGCAAATTATGGATGGTTAACTCACTTTAACCCTTATATAGATTTGTTGTGTTTGGCAGGTTAAGAAGGGGTTAAGTCTCCTTAACCCCTCACTTAATCCTTTGCCAAACGGTACCTTAAGTGATAAGAATTACAAGTGAGGTCATATAAGTGAAACACCAGAAAACTTTGGGTCATTTAAGCGCAGTTTACCCTGTACATATTTGAAAGTAAATATGCAAATAAGGTAGATATTGGGGGCCAATAAGTAAAAACCCAAGAAATAATTTAAATAGGGAAGAAATTTTCTAAATAAACTTATTCATATTTTTTTTAAATCAGTCCGCTTGAGTTTTTTTTATAAAAATTGACTCACTTTCTCATCATGTTAGTATCGTGACGAGAAAGTTGGCCGATTTTTTTAATCTGGCTCTTAAATAGTCGGGGTTGTCAACCCCGACTATTTAGAAGGTTGCAAAATCACAATTACAATCCTAAATCCTAACATTTTATGCTCTAAATAGTCCGGTTGATAACCCCAATTATTTAGGAATCGAATTAAAAATATCGACTCACTTTCTCGCAACGATACTGACATAACGAGAAAGTGAATCGATATTTGTAAACAAAACTCAAAGGGGTGGATTAAAAAAAAAAGTGTGAATGAGTTTATTTAGAAAATTTCTTTCTTTAAATAGGTGAAGACTACCAAAACCTGCGAACTCGTGAACAAACCCTATCCCCAAATCCAAACTCCAATTAAAAAGTCTGATCTTTTTTCAACATAATCGAGAGTCGCCGCTGAATCTTCCAAGATTGATGGCGGGATTCGCCGCCGATCCTTCTTTCTCCAGATCTACAGGTACATGTCTCTCAATTTCATAAAAATTCGATCTCGTCTAGTGATCTGGGGAATTGGATGATTGGATTAGTAAACATGAACACATTTTCGATGTTTTCTGCGGGAATTCACTGGGATCTCAGAGAAAAACGAAGTTTTGATGGCCAAAAAAAATCTATAACTTCTCTGTTAATTAAATAAAAAATTTACAATTTTGCAATTTTAGAGATCGAGGGTTTAATTAGACCATCTTTTAATTTTTCAGGTGTTTCGTGCTGAAAACTGAGAGAAATCATGGAGCTTTAGTAAAGAAAGCTTTGGCGTTCATTTGTTATATTTTGCGTGGAGTGCAGATAATTTTGCTAATTTTCTCTGCGCAGAGTCAGTAGCTTAAAAGCTTAGAAGATATAATAAGAAATTTTGGGTAAATTTTCACAATGGAGTCACTGTGGAAGCTCACTTATTTGCTCGAACCTGCGTCCTTAACTCTAATTGCAACTGCAATCTTTGTAACCTTTGCTTCGGCCTCCCGGTCCCTACACCATGGTAAAGAAATGGAAAGAAACCTAGATTTTTCAGAATCTTCAATCACTTTAGACCGTTCCCAAGCCCTAATGATCCCCCTTGCAAGTTCTTGCAGCCTATTACTCATGTTTTACCTCTTCTCTTCTGTTTCACACCTCATCACTGCCTTCACTGCCATTGCCTCGGGCTCTGCACTCTTCTTTTGCCTTGCCCCTTATGTTACCTACCTCAAAACCCAGTTCAATTTGATGGACCCGTTTGTATCTCGGTGCTGTTCTAAGTCATTCACGCGAACCCAAGGAGTTCTGGTTTTGTTTTGCATTGGGGTTGTTGCTGCTTGGCTTGTTTCGGGGCATTGGGTATTGAACAATGTGCTGGGGATTTCTATATGTATAGCTTTTGTTAGTCATGTTAGGCTGCCCAACATTAAGATTTGTGCGTTGCTTCTTGTTTGCCTGTTTGTGTATGATATCTTCTGGGTCTTCTTTTCGGAGAGGTTCTTTGGGGCCAATGTTATGGTTTCGGTTGCGACACAGAAAGCTTCTAATCCGGTCCATACGGTTGCAAATAGTTTGAGCTTACCTGGGTTGCAGTTGATTACAAAGAAGTTGGATATGCCTGTTAAGCTTGTATTCCCGAGAAATTTGTTGGGTGGGATTGTTCCTGGGAGTAATGCTGTGGATGGTCTGATGCTGGGCCTTGGAGATATGGTATGATCTTCTAGTCGATATCAGTTATGGTATTTTTATTGTACTATTAAGTGTTTCTTTCTTGGTTATTTGTAAAATGAAAATGCTATGGTTTTCAAATTAATGCATCAACAATGATATATCTGGCACTATTTATTTATCTATATCTAAAGAAGATGAGGCTGTCCTTGCCCTGGGCACTATCATAATCTTGTCTGTTATACATTTCCTGACTCAGTTGACTGCTTTAAATTGTTGTCATCATATGCTCCCATAATGTTTGTTGTGGTTGATCTTTTTTGATATTGGATATAGTCAAGTTATAATTATATGTAACTAGGGTTATGAAAGGTTAGAAATGTTTGCCTAATCTTGAGTGCAAGCTGACCTTATTCATGACAAACCATAAACTTATTATACACGTGGAGGATTACACTAGATCTGGTGCATATTAAGTCACTATCTCAATTATATGCTTAACAATAAATATGCGGTTGATACCCTATAGTATCTCGAGAAATAAGCATAGCTTGATGTAAAGGATGCCCCTGGGTTGATTTTACAGCCACTTTAGGTATCCGAATTAAATCAAATAATGGACTTGAAGTTGGTTAATTTTTGGCCGCTGGCTAGTCGCCTTCTATTAGCCTTTCTAGCCACTTGCTGGGATTTTGTCAGGTTGTCATCCTGTTGGAGCTATTGCCCACATGGGATTGTAAATAATCCTCGGTTGTATTGGGATATTCCAAACAAGAAGACACCTTATCCCATTTCTTTGGGTGATGTGGGTAGAAAGATTTTGACGACATAAGTTCTTAAATATGAAAGTTATGACACTTATATTGAATTATGATGCATGCTGTTAACGCATATATGTGGCATCAAATCAATCTAAACTTTGTTATGTAATTGCAAAATTTTATAAATCAAGTCACTCACATGCATTGTAGCACTTGCTGTTGGCATGACAAATAAAAAGTGGATTACTCAAGATTATCAAAATAATGGTGATTTTCTTAAGAGGTGGATCTGATGATGTTAGCAATTGGCGAGGCAAGTTTGGAAGGTCCATTTGCAGGCAACCAACTTGCACTCATCTTATGACCCAATCAAATATAAAATTTGAAACCTCTAGCATTATCATCATTAATTTGGTAAACTATGACTAAGTGAAATTCTTAGCAATAGCATAATTTGAAATACATTTGACATGCATATTTCAGGTTTATTGATAACATGCACATATTAATATTTCCTAGTATATAAAGTTCATCTCAATAATAGGCATGAATTAAAATTGTAGACATTTTATTTGATATCCTCTATCTACCTCTTACAAATTCATTGCATATCTCCCACATTTGGAGTTAATGTAAATGGACTTTGACATGCTTCGTGAAATCTCTAAATGAGAATGTGAATATAAAATGGTTGCAAAACTATACACGACCTTGGGTTTTCTTAAAGTGAAATTTTATAAAGGTCTTTCTAGTAGCATAGTCCTAAAATCATCGAGGGGAATGAGGTTAAGCCTAATAAAGTAGAGATCACTGGTAGTGGGAACCCAACCTTTTGATTTATGACTTGTTCCCATAAAAAAGGTTCACTATGCTAGAAATATGATTTATTCCCATAAAAAAGGTTCAATATGCTAGAAACAAGATGGACTAGTGATTCTCATGTGGAGCATTGATTTTCTGAGCTTCACTCCTTTGTAATGTTGGATGCATTTATGACTTGCACCATGTTAGCTTCTCCCTCATTCCTATCGTGACAATGCTCTTATGATGTAACTGGGCAAGATGAGTTATACTAACCTTTTATGGACAGAATATTTGGAAGCTCTGAGGATACTGGAATTTTCAGTAACCACTGAAATTGATTATTTTGCAGGCTATCCCTGGAATGCTTCTAGCTTTGGTTCTCTGTTTTGATCATCGCAAGAACAGAGATATTGGAAGTCCTATGGACACATCCTCAAAAGGATATAAATACATTTGGTATGCACTTTTTGGATATGCAGTTGGACTTGTCTCTGCTTTAGCTGCTGGTATATTGTATCAATCTGCTCAACCTGCTCTTCTTTATCTGGTAAGTTGCATAACTGTTAGATCTAAATATCTGAAAACCCTGTATAGAAATAAAAGCTTTTCTTAGCCCTGTGCAACGTTTTAATGCTATAAGAATCAAAATTTTATCTCGAGAATGGTATATCAATTAAAAAAGGGGAGGGGTCTTCAACTTCATCATAGTTGGTATAAATACTTGTTTTCCTCATCAGTCCTGGATTGAGTTTCTGTTTCACATTTTGATAGGAAAGATTGGGATATGACTATCGCAAGACAAAATTTATGTGTTCAATTCCTAATCTTTAGTTTATATAGAAATTCCAAGGCAATATAAATTGGTCCATGGACTGGTAGTTGACATGTACTAAAATTTTATATATATATTTTTTTCTTTTTTGGGGGTGGGGGGTACTTATTGCTTGCTTTGTGTAGCTTATTGGTATGCTACAGTGCTAACGAAGATTTAATCAAAAGAATATTGCACGATTAAAAAATTAAATGAAACATCAGATGATGGAATTTATGAACCTTTCCTCTGGCACGTAGCCCATTTGTTACTTTTATGCTATCTTTAGCAAAGTTTATAGCTAATATCTCTGTGATATGAAAGCACAAAAACAAATAAAGGTCTGTCAACAGAAAACTGATGAAGCAGATACCGCCAGAAGTTCAGTTTTGCTCCCAAGTGTATATATATTATTCTAGTATTGTTTTTTAAGGGAAGTTTCATGAACTATTAGGGGTTTTACACAAAAAATAGGATAAACTATTTTTATTAGAGGAAAGTACCACATACTCTCAAATCAGATGAAAAACACCATATACTATCAGAAAATTATAGGATTGTTTTATGATAGTACTTGCAAGAAATCATAGTTCTTTGACAATAATGTAAAGTTCATTGTATTTAATTCATGAGTAGTCTTCCTAGTACAATGTGATATTTTTCTGCTGAATTTAGAGTTTATGTTATATTTTGCTAGTTAAAATATCTTAGGGCATTCTTTCTATGCATATCCCTAACAGCTATATTAAGGTAGTTTTCTGTTATAAATTTACCAGTTTTTCGACTTACTTCAGAGTTGCTATTGGGCATTTAATATTCATATGAATCATCATTATCTTAACTGGGTTTTTAGAGCAAGTTTTGTTGCTACTACCGCATCCACCTTTTTCAATCAATAGCAGATTAACATCATTCGGATTATGTGGATGCAGGTGCCTTCTACTTTGGGACCTGTAATCTTCCTCTCATGGCTAAGAAAGGAACTGAATGAGCTTTGGGAAGGTACAGGACCGTCTTCAAACGATAAAACCCATTCAATGGAGGTTTGAGCTTGAGCTTGAGATTCCATGAAAGTGATAACTACTGCTGGACTATCTTGTACTCTTATATGGTGCCATGAAGGTGTAACATTTCAAGCTTAATGAACTATTTATATACTGCACTATACATTATTTTCCAAAGAGTGGTTTCTGTCTTCATTTAGTCATTCTTCTTGCAATATCGTGTTATTTGAAAATATGAGAGCTCAGAATAGCTTGGAGGAGTCTGTCCCCCCTCACTTCAGGATAGGAAGTAGCTAAAATCTAATGCAACTGCTCACCATTCTCATTTCTCATAGCCTGAGTAGTATCAAAAGCAAGAGGTTTACTAGAGAAGCTAACATTATTTGAGTACTTGTTCTTTATCAAGGCAAAGAGCGAGGTGAGTCTTCTTAGATTAAAGTAAAATTAAAGTACAAGCTATGGCATCTAATTCATAAGAACCTAGTACAGAGTAATTAAAACAACGAAGGAAAATGAAGTACACAAAAAAAATAAAACTACGAAACTCGTTTCTTTTGAAAAATGTCAAGCACTAAGTAAGTCACTTGCAAAGAATCTAAAGGTGGATCAGAGGTAAACAATCTTCCCTTCCTCTCTTGCCCAAAAAAAAAAACAAGTAATTCCTCTCTTGCCAAAAAAAAAAAAAGTAACAGTAAAAGCGATATGCGATTGATGTTTACTCAAAATAAGGCCTCATTGATGACAGCAAATGCCTTTTCAAGTTATAGCTTTATACAAACCCATACAAAATAGGCAATTATACGAAGGATCTAGGATACTCTTCTGGAAGTTCAACATTATTATCTCCACTAAGGGCATGTTTGTTTGCACGAAAATAATTATGAAGTAGCTGAAGTAAAAGAAGTAGATGTTACTTCTGCTACTTCCAAGCAAAAAAGTATGTTTTGTTCTCTGAAAAACTTACTTCTAATACTTCCCTAAATGTTTATGTGTCGTCTACATGTCATCATTACTTCCAAAATATTTTTTCAATCCTCAATACTCAGAAGTAGCTCGGAAGTAGTTGAAATGCATATTAATTCCAAAATATTTTTTCAATCCTCAATACTCAGAAGTAGCTCGGAAGTAGTTGAAATGCATATTAATTAGGAAATAAATAATTTTTTATTAATATTTCCTTTATTAGTTACTTCTAATAACTTTCCATTGATAAAATTACTTCCTAGTAATATTTTCAAATGTTATCCAAACAAAAAAAAGTAAATGAAAAGGAAAAAGTTCTACTTCTATTACTTCTAAAATATATGAAACAAACAAAAAAAAAAAAAATTTACACTATTTCCTACTTCATAGTTTTGAAAGTTACTTTTATAAACTACTTATTACTTCCAATACTTTCAGGATCTAGGGGTTTTTGCATCTGTACCCCTTAAATCTTCCATATTTGCAAATTTACTCTCTAAATCTCGATATTTGTAAAATTGCCCCCTAATTCTCTCAATAAATTTTTCTACCCCTTCCCTTACCAATTTGAGTTTTTTAACGGGAAATCGTTGCAAATCTATTGGAAATTATTGGAAATTTGATATTATCTTATTTCAAACGCAACATCCTTAACTTGGAGCAATAGAAACGCCTAATACGCTAGTTTTGAGGGATAATTTTGCAAATATCAAGATTTGATGGGTAATTTTGCAAATGTAGTAGATTTTGAGGGGTATGTATGCAAAAAAAAAAACCTTTCATTTATTAAAATGGTTGAAACTCGATCAGTTACTGGATTTGGATATGAAAGCAGGATGCACCCAATAGAGCATCAACTTAAAATCTTAAACCTAGGGGTAAGCAAATAGTGGGTTCAGTTGACTATTTTTTTTCCAACCGAATCGTACTAGACTAGATTCAAACTGAATCAAACCGAATCGAACCGTATCAAATCGGTTTGGTTCGGTTTGTTCTATTTAGGCTTACACATGTAAAGTTAGAGAATTAATAGCTAAAAAAAAGAATATTTACTCCTACAAACATTTCATTATCTCATATCCCAAATCGAAGAGAACAGTCGTCAAATCAACGGTCCTACAAACCAAAATCAAACATTTATCAATTAATATATACAAAAATATTACCTTGAGCGAGTAAAGTTTTAAGCAATTATACTGAGAGCGGTCAATTAAGTTATTTTAGTTGTAAATATATTAGAATCCAACCGAACCGAACCCAAATTTTTTCCGAAGCTGAATCGAACCATCAGTTTTGTCGGCGTGCACCGAACCGCAGTCACCCCTACTTAAACTTAAACCCATCTCTAATACAATTCTAGAAACGAAAAATGCAGAAATCACTGAGAGCATACAGCGAGGTACTGCGACTCGTGCGCCGCCTCCCGCCGGAGACAAGGCCTTACTACTCCAAATACGCGCGCGAAAACTTCGTGAACTATCGAGAACTCGACGACTCCACCTCTCTCAGCGAGCTCCTCAATCGAGCCTACGTTCATTCCATCTGGGTCCTCAAAAAGGTGAAGCTTTTACTCCCGAAAAGTTTGAAAAAGATTTGATTTTGATAGATGGGTTCTGATTATTTTGGTGGTTGGGTTGCAGTATTCGGTGGATCAGTCGGCGGCTGAGAGGTTGAAGCAGATCTGTTTTGGTTGATGCCCGGTAAGTGCTTGTTGAAATTACTCAGTGGGTAATAATAAGATTTTTAGCTAGTTTTGGATGATGAAGGAAGTTCAGATTGACTATTTGAAGTTTACAAGCATGAGTTTTTATGGTGGGAATGTAAATGACAGTTGAACTGAGCTGGATTTGTTCGAGTTTGAAACTTGGTTGCCTTAAAATATGTTAGGACGAGTCATGTGTTAGAGAGCTAGAAGAGCTCACCTCTAAAGGCTAGTTGAAACCAAAATCTCTTGTAAACTAACATTGATCCCCATTTAATCTATGTTGGATTAAATAAACCGTAAACTAGTCTCGAACAAATACGATATTGGCATCATCATTTTGCAACCTCTTTACAATTGGGAAGATGGGATTGCCTCTAATACCAATTTTGTTAGTGACCTACGAGAACTTCACCACAGTTGTTAGAGGTAGAGAACCCAAATCTTTAATAAATTGATATTGACTCTTCATTTAGTTGAGGTGGGACTAGATGGATCTTAGCATCATGTTTTCACAAAATTAACTGAATTTTTTTATATGGAAACGGACAAACTCGATGGTGTTGACCTTGGTCATTTTTAGAATATTAATTGTGGGATTGGAGTTTTCTTGCTGTTTGCAGTCCTGTCCCAGCGGCAACAATGTTTATTGAGACCAGTCCATGATTGGGCCATGGATACACACTTCTATTGATCCCCATGGATGGGACCTGTGATCCCTTGATCGTTTTAGAATATTCATTGTATAGACCACTGTTATAAATAGCAGTAAATAGCTCCGTAATAGCGGCGCTAATAGCGTTAGCGGTCCCTTCCCGTTACAATACGCTGTCGCCCAATAACAGTGGCATATTGCGGAATATGCGTTTTTCGCTTGCAAAAGCGGCCAATAGTACACCATATCAGTGAGTAGCGGGCAATTGCGGGCAAAATACGCTTTTTTATCGCTATTTAAAAGCGGTTTGAGATTTATTTTTTTAAAGTTAAACCCGATCCGCAACAACTACATCCCACCGCCTCCCTCGCTTTCTGGTGTACTCCCGCCGCATCCCATAACCTCTGGCACCTCCCTCGGCACTTCCTCTCCCCGTGAGCTCCTCCTAGTGCAGTCCTCTCACCGCTTAGCTCATCTTCTCAAAGATAACAAAATTTTGAGTTCTCTAGTTGTCTTCGGTATTATGTGACAGTTACATGTTTATTTCATGTTTAGGATCTCTTTAAATCATTAAATGCGCTTTTAGATTTTCTAAACTTTTTTATAATTTTTTTTTAATATTTATACATATCTAAATTAGGCTGTTATTTGACTTTTTACCGCTATTTTACCGCAATAGCCTCAAATAGATTTAGC